GAATTGGGATTTCTCGAGGGGAAGGCAACCTGGGATGGGGTTGGAAGTCTCCCAAGACCAAGGCTTCTCCCACCGAAATAATCCCGTCCTGTGTCTCCTCTCAATTCCTTTGGAGGGTAAAAGGGGAGCCAGCTTCTCCCAGGGGTGCCTAGGCTCCAGTCAGGGACGTGGGGAGCCCATTTCCCTTTTGCCCCTCAATGCACTTCGGGGGGGAGGAATGGTGAGTCTCCCCAAGGATTTGGGGTCGGGGGATCCATTAGGAGGAGAAGAGGCAGCGAGAGAGGATCTCTTCCCTTCGTCCAGGTTGGCCCCCAAAGTTTGTTTTCTTCATGCAAAGCCTTGCAGTCCCCCCCCCTCGGCCGACCACACGACCACCGACAAAAGCTGCCTAGGTTGTCAGTTGACGGGGAAGAGGAGTCCGTAAATAGGATTTTCCCGAGCTCCCCCTCCTCCTATGCCATGAAGTCAGCTCTGACAATTGGTGACCGTTTTCAGGGTTTTCTGAGCTGAGAATACACCGAAGTGGCGTCCCCTTCCCTTCTTTCTGGGGACACCCTGGGATTTTGTTGCTCCCCCAAGGCTACCCAGGCTGGCTAGAAAGGCGGGAGGCACAGAGGGGGAATCGAACTCCCAACCTCCGGCTCCCCAGCCAAGCGCCTGACTCACTGAGATGTCCAGACAGCTCTTTCTATTCCCTCGGAGACCCCCTAAATTAGGAGCAATGTTGTCGTGTTTAGGTGTAAGAGAGATGAACTGAGCACTCAGCAGGAGAGGGAGGAAGAGGAGAGGGGAGCTGTGGCTGGCGGCTTTTGTCATTTCCAACTTTTTTTTCTTCTAGAATGGAATGATCATTAGAGAAAAATGTCTTTACTTTGCAGCCCGTGAAGAGTGTCGTCTGATAAAGACAGTCTTTCCTCACAGCAAGAGAGAGAGAGAGAGAGAAGGAAGGAAGGACCTCTTTGATTCCACCGAATCAAGGCTTGCTTAGAACACAAACCAGCAATCGAGGAGCAGAAGTTCGTTGGCCTTGATCGAGAAAGAGCTTCTGATGTCCTCATGGCGGAGAGCAGTGCCATGAGGAAAATCTTGGAGGAGGATGTTGTCAGCTCAGATATACAACTCCAGAGCTTCAGGCGGTTCTCCTACAAGGAAGCGGAAGGGCCACGAGACGCTTGCAGCCGACTCTACTATCTCTGCCATCGGTGGCTGAAGCCAGAAAGACACACCAAGGCTCAGATCCTGGACCTGGTGATCCTGGAACAGTTCCTGGCCATCCTTCCCCCGGAGATGTCCCGCTGGGTGAGGGAATGTGGAGCGGAGAGCAGTTCCCAGGCGGTGGCCCTGGCCGAAGGCTTCCTCCTGAGCCAGGCAGAAGAGGAGCAGAAAGTGAGAGGATTCCCACTTGGGGCTCTTAAGACAGGTCGCCTCAGTCCCTGTGGCCGCTTCTTCTGCCCCACAGCCCCTCCTGAGGCCCCTCGTGCTGCCATGGCCCCCCCAAGCTTCTGCGGTTCTGCCTAGCTTTGGTGCACTGCCTCTTCTCTTTGGCATTAAAGTCTACAAGAGTAGAAAAGTGTACAAGACTAGAAAAAACATTCCCAATATCTGTGGAAAGCTTGATCCTCCTTTAAAACAAGCCACCCTTGTTATTTTTTCTGTAAGAAAATTCCAGATTTCTCTTTCTGCCCCAGAGACACCACCAAAGGAGACGGTGAGGTTTCTGATGGGATTGGAGGTGGTGGCTCTCTACCTCTTCCTACACTCCAGAAGTCCTCCATCTTTTATCTAATGGATGAGGGATCCAGTGCAGGGACTGGGTGGGTAGTTCAGTGGCTGAGGTCCCTGGCTGCAGAGCCAGAGGTTGGGAGTTTGATTCCCCCCACTGGGCCTCCT